TGCATCTGTGCAATATGATATCATATAAAATCAAAAAGATGGATGGTCTTTTCTTTGTTGTTGTTCATACAAACCTTATTGTTCATGAAAGCCTTCAAGCACTGGATAAGTTTATGCTGGTTCCTTTTATCAATACTCTCTTGTCTGAAAAACAAATTAAAGGACACACGGTGATTACATGAGCAGAACCTATTACTTTAACAATGGCAGAGAGATGGGATGTCAAAGGAGATCACTCACTGTTTCTTGTCCAGCAGCTTCTCCAAAGCATCCAGAAGAAGACCAAGACCCTCATGACCGAAGTTATTCACCCAGCTAGACACAAAAAGACAGACACATAAACACGAGTTACTAATATTCTGTCACAATTGTTATTGCCCTCCTGGTTTATTGTAAGCCATGTTGATTCACAGGAGAGAACAAACACAAGCAATATTGTATTATCCTCTGAGGAAATCAGTCATTCAGACTAATATGAAAGGTTTAACACTCACTGTGATAAAGTGATGGCTGTAGTGGTTTTTAATTCCTAACAGGGAGAGCTGCAAATCAAAATACACCCTTTCCTCCATGAGGGGGAATACAGTCTCAATCACTTTGGATTTAAACTGTACTCATTTTCAAGGAAATGAACTCCCACCCATCTTAACTTAGTGTTCCAACCACTTTGTATACAGCCCCCCCTGTGCACTGCTGTATTCCTGAGCCAAAAGATTAAGCAATACAAGAAAGATAACACTGTAATCAATAATAGATTGCAGGAGATAATTGGCTATAAGCCACAGCGTATCAGAAGACAGCAAATGATCCAGTGCAGATGAGCCCATTTGTCTAAGCAAGGCGAGAGGAGGGTGGAAGGCCTAGTGTGGTCACAACCAGATTATGTCATTAGCATCACTTGTTTTCAGGCCCCTAACTGTCAATAACACAAAATGCATGGTGCAATTTTATGACATTTACAGGGCACAAGTCAATGATATATCTTGCCTTTTTGACAATGATTTGAAATAATAATGGTTTGAGTATTAAAGTAATTTGTATTGACTCAGTGAGTCGGAAAAAAACCTCAATTAGGGGAAAGATACAATAGCCTGAGGCAAATGGTGAAGTTGAGGTATTTCTTTGATCTGTGACTAAATTAGCACACGCTACAACCCACTGCTACTCGAATTTCATCAGAGGATGAGCAAAACCAATTAATAACTTATTAAAATTTACTGTGGTGCATCATGATGATCTGTTTTCTTAATAAAAACAAAACACCACAAAGTAATGAATGTATAAATGTCTGTTTACATAAAGTCTTCTAGTCTGATGTTTGGTTTATTTGGTTTGAATGTTTCCCTCCTTCCAAATAGGAACAAACAAACCACCTCAGTTTTCTGCAAAATAATAATGCAGAGAAATATATTTGTGTTGCAGAGGTGGCAGGGGTAAATGAGCGACTAGGACAACAAAGAGAGAAGGGAGGTGACACGGCTGAGGGAGCACAATCCAGTGAATCCGCAGTCTTTGTTTACGCTCCTTAGTAATGATGGTAATGTCAGTCTTCAGAGGGCAGGGAACGGAACCAATATTTGTAAAGAGAAATCCTGTTTATCACACAGCGCAGCAGTAATATGGGATTGTATGAACGCTGTACAACCTGAACGTGTGTGATGAGGGCACTGATGATGTTAAACCCTATGCATTACTGTTTCATACATCACATAACATAACATACACTGCTTTGACAGTGCTCGCCATTTAAAAAAGATATTTGTCCTTTCTTTCTAAAACAGAGATGTCAATGTCCTCATGATGAGTGCGACCCTGATCTCCAAACAGAGCAGAAGGGAGGCTTTGGAGGAAACAAGTGAAACTGGACATCTGGTATGTTTGGAAATGAGCTTCCATACATACAAACACAGATGCTGTCACACAATGACCAGTCGATGAACCCATCCTTTTCCTGACTGTGACCAAGAGAAAGAGCCAGAAAAGCCACTCCAGTGGTCAGTGTGAGCCATAATGTGCAGCTCCACTAAATGCTATACATTTGTTTGACACCAGTGCTCACAGTTTGAAAAGAAAGAAATACACTGTACACTTCCATTTTGATTTGGTGCTGGCATTTGATTTTGTTAATATCAATTTTTCCATGCATGCATTATAGACCCCTGATGTTTAGGACAAGAATAAAATGGCATAGAAAAGCTTTACTGACAATCATTACATGACCAGAGATAATAAAAAGTAAATGAAAAATAA